AACATGGCGTAACATGATGTAGCATGATGTAGCATGACTAAATGTAACATGACGTAACATGATGTAGCATGACTAAATGTAACATGGCGTAACATGATGTAGCATGATGTAGCATGACTAAACGTAACATGACGTAACATGATGTAACATGATGTAGCATGACTAAACGTAACATGACGTAACATGATGTAGCATGACTAATTGTAACATGGCGTAACATGATGTAGCATGATGTAGCATGACTAAATGTGACATGACGTAACATGATGTAGCATGATGTAGCATGACTAAATGTAACATGGCGTAACATGATGTAGCATGATGTAGCATGACTAAACGTAACATGACGTAACATGATGTAGCATGACTAAATGTAACAGGGCGTAACATGATGTAGCATGATGTAGCATGACTAAATGTAACATGGCGTATGATGTAGCATTGTTCAAAGCGACTAAGCCTACAATGACTAAACGTAACATGACGTAACATGATTTAACATGACGGAACAAGTGTGTTGAAAAATGCGTGACATGATACCACGTTAAACAACTTGTTGTGGAACTGTGTGTCTCCACGTCCCTGTCTCTTTCTCAGGCTGATGTCTCCAGAGGAGACACCGAAGAAGTTTATGTCTCTGGGCTCAAAGTTTCGATACAGCGGTCGGACTCAGATTCAGAGTCGCAGAGCCAGCGCTCAAATCTCCAGACCGGCACCGCATTTTCCACGGTGCGTCAGCAAGAGGAACATTCTGAGCCGCAGCCTGGACGGAGGTACTGGTGCTGATCACGCTAGTACCAGGTGGTCCTGGTACTCGTAGGAAAAGTACTTGCCGGGAGTTTTTTTCCTGGTAAAAGCAGTGTTTGAATTGTCAAATACATGTGACCTCTTCTGTTAGCACTGGTCTCCTGTGAGGCTCCTGAGGAGAAGCCATGTGGACAAGGCGTCAAACCACCAGCCTTGTTATGATAGAAAGTACTGCTCCTCCACCTGAGCCACAGTCACCAATATGAGGAACTGGCCGTGGTAGTTGTACCCATCTCATTCTTAGTAGTGGTGGCGGTCCCTGCGGTAGTGCTTGTCCCCGTTGTAGTGTTCCTGGTCTCTGGACTCCCTGTCCCAGAAATTATCATCCCAGAAGCAGAAGTATTGGTTGCACTGGTTTCAGTGGTTTTACCTCCATTCAGGTTCAGGTTATGTCAAGGTGTTATGTCACTCCTTCCCGTACCTGTTGATGACCAGAGCTTTGATTGGTCCTCAGCTTCGAGGACCACGCCCACGTCCTTTCTCATTGGCTCTCCGGCCATCACGTACCCCAAAGCCAACAGTGGTACACACACAGGTAGAGCTCGTCACTACAGTAACATTGCCGCTGGCTGCAGTAGTAGTGTAGCATTAATGTAGCATTAATGTAGCATTAATGTAGTACTGCCCTGTGATTGGCCACAGCTTTGAATGCTTCACTTCCTTTAGCTTGTGAGCGATGCTGCTCCTTGATTGGCTGAATGATCTCTGCTTCATTCGGCCACACCTGTCATCAGCTGTGTCGATTTCCTACCTTTCCTCAGCTCTTCTGTTTCGGGTGATGTCATCACATAGTCCTGTCAGACCTCCATCCTGTCGTCAGTAACACGATGAGACATGAAGTCAAACAGGATACATAACATGATAAAGTGAAAACACCGTGAAAGGGTTTATCAACAACTTCCAGACCAACATATTAACTGTCAATCATTGTGTAGCCCCGCCCTAAAGCATCCGCTGCTTTATGGTCTGTTTGACCCTAAATGGACCATCATTCACTAAATGAACATCATCTGTATTGAAGAAGACTTGAAACTAGAGACTGAGACCGTGAACTCATGTTTACAATGTTTACTGAGGGAATAAATAGGGAGGGAAGTCATTTCCTCATAGACGTCTATGGGACCAGAAGAGTCGCCCCCTGCTGGTCACTACACAGAATGCAGCTTTGCAAACATAAGGAAACGCTATTTACAATTTAAAAAATAATCTCTTTTTCATCTCATTAATTCTTTAGCTCCGCCCCTATCATGATGTCTTTTGTTGTTGTTTTATTTGTGACACAACAGAAAGGAGGTCTGGCTCTTTCAGTTAGTGTTATTAGCATAATTAGCATTGTTAGCGCTGCTGGCATGGCCGCATGGTCATGGCTTCGTGGCGGTTCTGAATGCTGAATTAAGATTGGCTGACTGGCCCAAGCTGCCTTGCATGTTTCCTGAGCACCAATTGGCTGAATGTGTCATTGTCCCGGCAATGACACATTCTGTGGTTACTGCTTCAGCAGCCAGGTGGCTATGGTGCTATGCTAATCATCCGTTGTTGTTGACATTACTGTGTGTGTGTGTGTGTGTGTGTGTGTGTGTGTAGATATGGGGGTTGGGCTGTACGGAGCGTCTAAAGCCATCGCCGTTAGCAACCTCATCACCACGGTAACGTCCGACAGGATGATGGATGAAAGTAGGTCGAAAAAAGGTACACAAATCAACCAATCAGAGTAGATATCTGACCTGAGCACAAGGAGTAAGTGACTCCTCTTCCTGTCTCCTTGTTCCCTTGTCACCTCGCCTTGCTTCTTTGTCTCTTATCTCCCAGTTGAGGAGGTTCTGGTGGTGGAGGAGGAGGAAGAGGAGAGCACCAGAGAAACAGAGCTTTCTCAGCAGAGTCCCCCTACTCCCCAAAAGCAAGAAACCAAGGTAACAACACTCTCACTCTCTGATGATGTCATGTGTCTGTGCAGACGGAGCTGACTGATACAGGTGTAGATGGAGATCTAACAGCCACTGAGGTTCGAGATCACATGCCATTACACATCAAATAAAAGTGAATCCTCTGTATAGAAACCCGTCTGTCTTCAAACAACAACCTGTCTGTCTGCATGTCTGTTTCAGTCTGATCAGGACGAGGACCTGAAGACTCAGGTAACAGGGACTTCATCACTCTGCATCATGATGCGTCTCCCCTCAGAGACTCAGTGGGTTTGTGTCTACAGGAGACAATGGGGAGTCCAGAGGAGGAGCAGAAGCCTCAGAGCACCATCAGCGCCCTAAGGCGCTCCTTCTTAGAGGGAGGAGGAGCAGGTGGAGGAGGAGGGCAGGGGGTGACAGAGTGGGAGAAACGTCTCGCCTCCTCTCCTCTACGACGAGTCGACGACTCGCCGATGATCGAACCTCTGGAACCAGATGAGGTGAGGGGACACACACAGATACACACATGTAGACTGACACACAGAAAACTCCCTGTCTGTCTCTCAGGGCCTCCCACTGGACAGCAGTTCCACATCGGTAGGTCCACCCAGCTGTCAAATTGAAACGGGTGTAACTAAGCCCACTTGTCCACCTCACCTGTCACATGATTGGTTGGTCAGACTGTGTGTGTTTGATGTTGCTCACCTGTGCGCTCCAGGAGGGCGGGTTCATAGTGAACCAAGCTCCTCCTCAGCTAATCAGAGAGAAGAGCTACACTGTGGGGCAGAGCTACGACACAGCGTCTGGAAGGGTCGTTACCATGACGATGACAGACGGCAGCTCCGATGTCACCACGACAACAGCGAGTATGGAGATGGGCAGGCAGGTTAGGATCATCCCGCTGTCCACTACTGATCATGTCATCGCTGGGAGACCGTTGATCACCATTCGGAAGGTGAAGATGCCAACCTCACCTCCGTCTGCTGTGTGTGGCATCAAAAGTGACATCATATTCAGAGATGGACATAGAGGGGGCAAAGCCTCGGGTATCTCAACTTTGACCCCCGTCCTTCCTCCTAAATCCCCTTTCAAGGAGCTGAGACTAAGTCCCGCCTCCGCACGGGGGCACTTATCAGGCAGGATGTCGCACAAACTCCTCCCCCTTTACCCAGACACCATTTCTTTGTTTGCACTCCTTCTTTGATCAAAGTGGTGCAGAAGTTCATGTAGTTTTGGTTTTCTTTTGTTTTAATGGCTGCTGTTTCATTTTACTGCCCTTTACTTTGACCCTGTGATTGTTTCCTCCGACTTTCTGATGTTTTTCACATCTTTTGAAGCTCTCAGGTGGATTCTCGCCAATGGAATAATATATATATATATATATATATATATATATATATATATACGTATATATACAACAACAATATATATATATATATATATATATATATATATATATATATATATATATATATTGCATTAATCTAGGCCACATTAATCGCATAGATTAATGCGTTAATGTTGACAGCCTTAATTAGTGACGCGCGCATGACGTCGCTGTGATGTATAGATTAATGCGACAAAATATTTTAACGTAGTTATTGTTTGTTTGTTTACTTCCGGTTTACGTACCGGAAGGCGACCGCGGAAACGACACGGCCGCTAGCTGCAGTCAGTTACATCAAGATGGAGAGAACTTTTTGCATTTGAAGTAAAACAAACAGAGACGCAACATACAGCAGAGAACTGTGCAGAGGAATTACTCCAAGTGTCAAACAGAAGGGGGTGAGTGACAAACAGACCACTTAAAGCACTGCTATGCTAAGCTATCTGCTAGGCTAAGCTAGCTTCTAGGCTACTTCCATCTCAACATCTATCGATTTTCTTTTTGGTAGGGCCAGCCAATCAGTTTCAGTAAACATCCCAGTATGATTCAATTTAAGTTAAACATTTATTCCAACAAGGACATTGAGATGCACCTATGAACCTGGTTTGTTGGGGAAACACCAACTCAAAAGCCCCACAAAACACAATGAATTATTTTGGATAAAATGTGCCTGTTTTCATCCACGTCCTGGTTGTGTGTCCTCACCGCATCCCTGTGTGCGTGCAGCTGGGCAGCGATGAACTTCAACACAGTGACGTCATGCGCACGTAGCTAACTCGCTAGCTAAACATCCCGTGTAGAAGTCTCCACAGAAGCGTCATATGTGCGGCTTCCCTTTCATGCCGGTACGTTGTCTGATTGTGAGGTCCAGCTGTTTGACCTCTACTTTCTCCGGCAAAGTTCTTCTCTTGTACCGTGTTCGGGTCGTGTCTTCTTGAAGAACACTGCTGGTGGTCGCTCTCGTTATGTTGTTAAGCGGCACGTCGGAGACTCCCCTTGGTAGGGCGGTGTATTGTATGTATTTTAGGACACTGAAATGATAATGTCACTCATTAACTGTATCAGTGATTGGATAAGAAGTAATATAATAAACCACAAAAAATATAACACCCCATTGCCCTCTATGGACCACCCGCCACTGCATCTAACATTACCCTGGCGGCACACAGTCTGCAGAGGACCACCACTGTGTCCCTAAAACACCGTGGCTGTAAAACGTCCTGACGTAGAATACAGTTTAGATCACTGTAGAACCCTATAGAGTCATAAGTATTTAAAGACTGTACTCCATGTCCTCTCTGGCCACGCCCCCCCACACACACACATATGGCCACACCCTCTTATGCCACGCCTCCTGCATGGCTGTCAGTTTTGACTACGGGTGAAAATCAATTACTTTTTTGTTAAAACGGTTTCGTTACCTGTCTGTCTCTCTAACCTTTGTTTGTCTTCATATTGTTTTGTGTGTGTGCTCGTGCGTGTAAATGCAGCCTAAACCTACGTTTGATGAAATGTCTCCTGAGCTGACGGCTCTGCTGAACTCAGCCAGAGAACAAAACACCTTCAGGGAACACAACCTGCTGAAGGTGCCCGTCTCCCTGTCTCTGTACCTTTGTGTCTCCCTATCTGTGTCCTTGTCTGTCTTCCAGTCTCTGTACCTCTGTGCCTCCCTATCTGTGTCCTTGTCTGTCTTCCAGTCTCTGTACCTCTGTGCCTCCCTATCTGTGTCCTTGTCTGTCCTCCGGTCTCTCTGTCTCCCTATCTGTGTCCTTGTCTGTCCTCCAGTCTCTGTGTCTCCCTATCTGTGTCCTTGTCTGTCCTCCGGTCTCTGTCTCCCTACCTGTCACCCTGGTGAAAGCCTGAGTGGTCACTGAGCTGTAACTTTGGAGTAATAAACATAAGGTGGTATCATTGTTTTGGGTTTTCTCTCAATAAGCCACATTAATTAACTTTTTGTCTTTGCTTCAGACTTCTGAGAAGGTGGAGACGGTCTTCCTGATGACGGAGCCATGTGACAAGGACCAGCCAATGGCGGATGAGCCTCAGGTAGCAACAAGTAATCTGGTGGGCCCGCCGCCAACTAACCCCCCACCCCCTCCACCGGGGGCCTGCATGACGCATGCTGATGATGTCGCAGAGGAACGGGCTAGTGATGACGACAGTCGCAATTCTAATGATGCTAACCACAATAATAGCGCAGCACATGAACGCAAAGTCAGCTATTTTGATGGCAGTGACGACGAGGCAAATAGCCTAGCTAGTGACGGCGATACTAGCGATACTAGCGGTGCTAGCGAAGATGCTATCAGTGTGGTGGCACGGGCAGCTGTGGAGGAAGCCATGGAGGCCGCAGTCAGACAGGCTCAGAGCCCGGATGCTAACGATGGTAATCAGGATAGCATCAATGCTAACTTTGTAGTTACCCAAGGTGAGCAAGAGGGGGTGAACAAAGGCCCCAGGACCACACCCCACTCCGTTCTTGGCTCCCAGCATTACCAAGGCAAGCAGGATTCCGAAGACTCAGCGGAGGTGGAGGAAGGGTGGAGTTTCAGAGAAAACTCCCCCTCTTTGCCTCGCCTCTCTTCAGGGAGCAGTCAGACGCAGCCATCTGACCACAGTGATGACGATGATGAGCAGGAGGTAACACTGAAAATTGACTCATGCCCCAGTTAAACCTGCCCAGTGACTCCTGCCCAGTGAATCCTGCCCCAGTTAAACCTGCCCAGTGA